TCATCCTTCTTCAATGAGGTTGACTCATGTGGGACAGTCTGAATTGATATTGAGAGCTCAGATACAGTGTTGTCAGTTGCCTGGCACCTTTCCTGGGAGTAATACTTATTTATATGTGTTCCGTGCATTTGGTCAGGAGAAGAATTCTGTTGGAATTGGTCTTGCCCACTCCTTCCTTTCTGATCATGCCATTCCAAAGCTGCAAGTCATGTCCAACTCTTGCATTAAAATTGCCAAGGAGTATGAACTTGTCCTCTTTGGTGATGGCAGAGAGAATTCGGTCAAGGTTGGCATAAAACCTTTCTTTTGATTTCATCAGCAGCATCAAGGGTTGGATCATATGCACTGATGAGTGTTGCATGCTGATTTTTGCCAAGTTTAAGACAGAGGGTCCTGAGTCATTCATTGATGCTAACAAGTAATTCCGAGAGCTGGTTGATGATTTTGTTTTTGATAGCAAAACCAACACCGTAGATTCGTCGTTCATTGTCACTGCTCCCTTCCAGAAAAAAGTTAAACCACCACCTTTTTCCTTGAGCTGTCCTCCTGTATGTCAGGTCTCACTCAGTGCAGCAGTGTTGATGTCATGTCTCCTGAGTTCTCTGGCCACAGTTGCTGTTCTTTGCTCTGGACGGTTACTTTTCAGGTTGTCAATCAGGTTTTGAACGTTCCAGGTTCCAAATTTCATTGTTTAGTTTCGACCACAGTTAGGTGATACCTCTGGACACGGTTATCCAGTCAGGGGGAGGCAAGGCAGACTGTGTTTAGGGCACCTTCAAAAAATAGTCGACACTTTCTCTGTGGCCTACCACCAACTCAGGCTCATACTTAACACCAAGAAAAATGAAGTACTCCACCAACAGGCTGCAAATCACCAGGATCCTGCTCCCATAATTCAGATCAATAAAGAGACCCTGGAGAATGTTGAGCACTTCCTTTACCTCGGCAGCTGTCTGTTGCAGAAAGCTGACATTGATGATGAAATTCAACACTGCCTTCAATGTGCCAGTGCAGCTTTCGGACTCTTGAGAAAACAATCTTCAAAGATTGTTATATCGAGAATCAAACAGAGCTTCACGTGTATCAGGCTGATGTTATCCCTTCTCTCTTGTACGGTGCTGAAACCTGGTCAAGTACAGTAGACACTTCAAGATTCTTGAATGATACCATCAACGGTGCCTCTGAAAAATCTTCTGAGTCAAGTGGAATGACCGATGCACCAACATCAGTGTTCTGTCCCAGGCCAAAGCCTCCAGCATTAAAGTGTGATCATCCACCACCAACTCCATTGCTCTGGTCATGTTCTTCAAATGCCAGAAAATCAACTCCTGAAGCAGGTCATGTTTTCATAACTGAGCCATGGCCAGTGGGGTGGGGGGAGGCCAAAAAAAAAAAAAGTGCTTCGAAGACACCCTTAAAGCCAACATAAAGAAGTGCAATATTGACATAAACTTATGGGAGACCCAAGCCCTTGGCTGACTAAAATGGAAAAAGACCTTGTGGCAAGGAGCCTAGTATTTTGAGATAACAGGAAATGGAAAAATGGGAAAGGAGGAAAGAATGCGCCACAGCCAACTCAACAATCCGGATTCACTCTTTCCATTGGGAAATGTCTGCATCAATTGTGGATCCCAGATTAGCCACCTGTGTATCCACCAGTGATAACTGGCTATCATTTTATGGAAGACGACAATCCTTAAACTCCGAGAGATCACTGATCACTTATTTATATTTGGTATCCACTTAAAAAATGTTTGTATACAATTAAATTTAAAGGAAATTAAAATGTCCTCATCATCATATAACATATCAAAATGAGCAGCTGGCACTTGAGTTGATCTTTTTTAAAATCACAATGTAATGTATAGAAATAAATTGAGCGGAACTGCAGCAAATCAGACTAACGTTAGTCAGAACATGACCATCGCCTGTGGTAGCATCCAATTGATGGATAGTTTTATGATGATTGATTGAATAATTCTTATTGTTAGTCTCAGTATCATTCATCAACACCTGGTCTAGTACATCTGTTTTAATTTGTCATCACTTCTTTGCCCAGTCTCATTCTGTAGCATAGATGTTCTTAAATGTTATAAATTGTAAGACAGATGCACTTAGAGATGAGTTGCTACTATTTCAAGATCTGTCCTTTCTTTTTGTCAAATTGATTTATATTTATAATACTATCAGAGGGGTAGCCGTGTTAGTCTGGATCTGTAAAAAACAACAGAGTCCTGTGGCACCTTTAAGACTAACAGATGTATTGGAGCATAAGCACCCACAAAAGCTTATGCTCCAATACATCTTTTAGTCTTAAAGGTGCCACAGGACTCTCTGTTGCTATTTGTAATACTGTTTGTATTAAATGGGTTGTGCCTAGCTTTAGGGAGCAAATCTTGCCAAGAAATCTAGCACTACAAACAAAATAATTGTCCATTTTTCTGAAATGTCTGGCAACTAGACAGGGAAAAGCAGTACTTCCTACTCCCAAACAAACCGCCTACCCATGTAAGGTAGAGCAACTTTTTAATAATAGTTGTCTCCATATTTTGAGTTGGCAGTTCAGCCGCTGTGGTTTTTTTTTATGCCGCCTTAATAAATAAATCTTGAATGCTGTTCCCCTCTTCGTACCACCAGCCATTTGGAGACATGCTTCTTACAATTTGCTACCTGCAGTTTCTTTTCAGTTTTCTGGTACACAGAACATTTCCCTGGCCTGGTTTGAACAATGTGCTTCTTGGAAAAGCTTGTATTGTAAAGTCTCTGGGCCAAATACTGAATTCCTTAACCAGTTTTTTACTCAGGTAAAATACCCAATTGGTGTGATGAGGACCAAATGAAAACTGAGTGAAGGCCCTATATCTATGTGTCTGTACTAGTTCTTTTCCTCCAAATACATACATGTTGAGTTAGGCCACTGATTATGGAAGACCCTGCATTTTTAAAATAATCCAGTGCTATACATTACTATGTGGTTTGAAAAGGAGAGAACCCCACAGTAGTAGCCAAACTTTCCTGGCAAGCTGATCAGGGAAGCAAATCCCAATTTAAAAAATACTTGGCCTTTATGTATAATGTCTTTTGTCAGTGGATCTGAAAATGCTTTACAAAGTTCGACAGTGTTTTCTCCATTTCACGAGTGGGGACAGAAGCAGAGAAAAGCTTAGTAACTTGCCCAAAGTCATACAGATCATAATTAGAGGAAAACAAATATGCTAATTTATGGACACATACTCCAACTCGAAGCATACTCCCTTAATCTAAGGATTAGAATCTGTATTCCTAGTCATCCATTATGATCAGAATGAGTGAGTGTGGATAAGTAAGATGCACCACAGTTATTCGGGGATCTCCTTGAGAATTGGGGGATTTTAATATTAATGTGGAATTTGACAGAAAGCCAGTGCAAACATTGTAAATGACATTAATTGCTCAGATAGTCCTGTGTTAAGGTTGCAAGCTACAGCATACAAATTACTTTTATATATACTTTTCAATTGCTGTTTCCTATTCTACGTTTTTTACCTTACAATATAATTTGGTATAATAAGCACACACTGGAAAACACTATAGACTTTTTTTCTATATGCTAGTGAACTTCTGGAAAGTATAATGAATATCTGCGAGACTGCAGTACTATAACAGCTCTTTGATAATTAAAGATCACTAGTAAAAACTGTGTGTGCAGTGTGCATTGTTGCAAACAACTTGTTTAGTCTCGCACAGACTCATGTTACCCATACTGAATCACTATCTACCCTCAATTACACCTCTGCAACAACTTTGATGGGCCAGACTCCTACATGACTAGTCCTCCCTGAGTGTTTCTGATATTTGTTACAGACTTTTAAAGGTGATTGCCCTTCGCATTGTAAAAGATATATCCCCAGCAATCAGCACAGCCTGTCAATCATAACTCTGCCTTTGTTTGAGTTACATGCAAAAGAAAACAATAAAAAAAATTCTCCCAAGATAAATGCTCAAAACTCAATGAGCTGAATGTATTGTTCTGTGGTTCTAGTTGGAAATTGAGGGACTCAAAACAAGCATAAATTGCTTGTTATTAAAGATATTCACAACTTTTAACAATGTCAAATAAGAAATTGACTTTGGGGTTGTGTGTATGTATTTAAAACTTCATTTGCTAGCATATACCACAGTTTTCTCGTTAACTGAGAAGATGTAAAAATTGGTAAGAACGTGGTATGTTGGTAAATGTCAACTCTTCATGGTGACAAAAGTAACAGTCAAAGCTTTTCTGTAACCAGCAGTGAACATTCAGTGCATGGACATACTGAATTAGTATGTGTTCTTACACTAGTTGAAGAAAATGCAGCTCTAAGTGTAGGTTAGTTTCAGCCTCAAAGGCCAGCTTCTTTTAGTAGCAGTACTTCTTGGCGTGAGTAGCAACATTATACAGTATGTGCCATTGTTTCCTTTTCTGGCAGATTCAACTAAAGAAAATTTAAAAATGTGAAATCGGGGGTGAGGTTATTCCAATGTAACTTTACTGACTTCAGCAGGTTTGCACCCAGGATGAGTTTGGCTCATTATTTCCCAAAGGTTTATACCATAGGGTAAAGTTGTGATCTCTGCGGTATCACAGGATATACTGAACAGATTTGGGAGAGATGAAGAGAGTATTTTGATTTATTTATTGACATTTGCCATTTACCTAGCACAGTTCAGGCTGAAATACTTATTGTCTGCTACAGAAACATAATTTGCCACTTTCAACAGCAGAAGAGAGGGAGAAGGCAACATAGACACTTACTTAGCCATAATCTTCTTTTGTGTAGTCAATCTATGGGGATTTTTGCCATCGTGTCAGTATTTCATTTTACACAATGCTTCTGAAAAAACATTTTAATACAAAATATTTTACTAAAAATTATGGACTCCCTTATTTTGTACACTGTATGTAATTGTTTCAGTTTGTAGAGCATTTAAATGTGTTATACATATATATCTTTTTTTCAACAGTCTAATATGAGGATTAAATGGTGGACACAGAAAACCAATTTTTCCCCCTTAGAGGATGATCTCGGAAGCCCCTTATCTAGAGAGTTCCTACAAGACATGGAAAATATACAGGACATCTCTGTCTATTGGTGATGATAGCCCTGGAGCATTAAGTGTAACAGAGCTCCAGTCTTTGGGAAATGGTCCAGGATCTGATGGATCAGTCATTACAGGTAAGAGTTTAGAATACAGTAAATCTTCATCAGTTGAGATAAGATGTATTTAATTGAGCTAAGCAAATCCTTCCTTTAAATTACAACAGCGGTTTCAGATGTATAGATCACACTGGAAACAAAAACCTTTCAGCTGTTTATAATGTCAATAAATTAACTCCAGCCTGAAATTTGTGAGATAAATGTTACTCCATAGAAAAAGTGATTATTTTTAAAACAAAAATTTAAAATTGTTTTTTTGGTTTCACTGATGAGGTGGAGATAAAAGCATGTTGGCTTGGTTTGTATAAATTTGTGCTCCCTTTAAAATGAAATTTTGCTGACTACCTTTAGTGTACACCATTTTTTACCAGCATCTTTCAAAATAATCACAACAGCTGTTACTACAAAAGTAGCTGCATTTCCCCCCTAACTTAGCAGATATTGTATAATATTTATAATACCTCAAAAAAATTTCCCCTGATTTCGCGGTCTTTGAATCAGTCCCATGAACTACAATCTGTGTGACTCTTATAACATACATGATATGTATAGTAAAATCTGTGCCAAAAGTAGATTAGTCATTCTGACTGCTAAAAAGTTAAGCTAGTGTTAAGTTAAGTGAAAAGGTTTGTCTGTAACTTTTCATCTCTCCAAAATGCCCTTATTTAAATGTTGGTTTCTCTGTTGATATCAGTAACACATCTGAGAGAGTTATTAAGGCAGAGAGCCATTAATCCTCAGATCTTTGACTACATGAGGTTTTTGTTGTATACAAGGCATAAATGAGGACTGTAGTGCTGCCATTAAGGTTATTGTGTACCATTTTTGCTTATCCAGTACAGTGACAATAGGAGATTTTTCCCCCCCCCCCACCACTTTTGGAGGACAAGGAGAAGAAGATTAAAGTTACTTTAGAATAGTGTTTGAAATCACAGATCTTAATGCTGAAGGTGCATAAATGTGGCATGTTTAATTAATTTGCATAATGTCCTAACTTTCTTATTGAGTAAATATACATGACTTATTTACATAAATGAGAGCAAATGTCCTGATTACCAGAACATAACTGACAAGGCTCCAGCATGGAATGAGCTTCAGGAACATATGGATTTTTATGCTCCTGGCTGACTGGGGTATTTCCCTAGACCAGTGTCCAGCTAACTCTGGAAGCTGTGCCTTGTTTCCCCTAGGCCTGGAGTGGATGCATATGATGCTGTGGCTGGGTTGTTAGCCCCTGTTGCTGACTGCTTCTTGCCTTCCGCTATCAAGGAGATCTGGTTGCTTCTTGACATCAACTGGGAAGTGCTCTGTCTGAGCTGCTATACCTGGGTGTTTAGTTCTGGCTTCTCCTTTCTCTTTGGTTGACCTCACCTACTGTTCCCTGATAGGAGGGCGGAAGCTGTGGCTGCTGCATGCTTGTCCTTGTGACAAGGGAGAAATGGCTAGAGCATTGCCCAGTGTCACTCAGGGATGGCTTGGGAGACTGATCAGAGATGTAGCCTAGAGCAAGTGTCATTTACAATAGAAATCCTGCCAAAAGTGGCCCTAATCATAAAGATGCAGCCTAGAATATCTCCTTAGCTCTCAAACTTCTGTGCAGGAACAGTTCAGAAAGCTGATTAAAAACAGGATCCTTCTGGCCAAAACAGAAGCTGTAACACATCTGAGTTTGTGACATGGTGTTACCAACTCTCACGATTTTACTGCCTTCCTGGTTGCAAAGAAAAGATGGAAAACATGAACCCAAAGACTCAAAATCTGGAAGGCAAATAAAAGGAACCCAACTTTAAAAATAATAATAATAATAATAATAATAATAATAATTTTGGGTGGTCTGAGTCAAGATTTTTGAGGTTGTTGGGGTTGGCAATACAAGTTCTGAGTTAACCTGTTTCTAACATCATATCCCTTGACCTACATTCATATAATTGTTTTAATGTATTTGTTCAAATAAAACACTTGTGAATTTGGTAAAATCTTAGTGTACTGCAAGATATAAGGAAGTCTTCTAGCTTTAGAAAATTTCAAGTTTGGTGGAGCGTAGGTTCTAGAACAGTGATACTCAATTAGATCTACCCGCGGGCTGATTTGAGAATTTTATGATGAGGCAGGCCATTTGCGCAGAAGGCTGACAAAATTAAAAAAAAACAACAAAAACTTCAGCTGCCAATAAATAAAGACCTTGATTGCAACATAAGTATTAGTTTTTCTATCTTTTAACAAAGTTTATAAATCAACATTATTACCTGTGTTTGTGGCAAACTCTAATGGGAGAGGTAACAGACGATCGCTGGCAAGGTTTGTAGGAGGTCAGGGCAAGGTGCATGCACTGGTGAAGATTATTATCTGCCAGATGATTGCGGTGTTGGTTTTTAATAGTCATGGTAGAAAACCCAGATTCACAGAAGTACGTTGATCTGAACATTGTTAAAAGATAGATGGCTAGATTCTGGCTGTTCTGAAATGGTCAGCATATTGAATCCAGAAATCACAAAGTCTCACTTCTCTGAATTTTGCCTTCAAGACATCTGAGCTCTGGAGTTTTACAATTTCTAATTGAAAGGTACCTTCATCCGTTTAATCAAGAATGCTCTTTTCTTCAGTTCTTTGCTAGGTCCACCGGCAGTGACAACTAATGGATCATGAACAAAGAAAAGCAATCCTTTGGAATTTTAAAATTCTCAAATCACATTTAAAAATTTGCGATCAGATTGTTTAGGAATTCTTGCATCATTTTCATTGAAGTTTCATCTGTAGCAACAACATACAATGTGGGAAAGTGCAACATCTTTCCTATTAAGTTTGTCTGAAAGGTTTTAAGATTCTTCTGAAAGCACACACTTTTTCAGATCTCCGACGCTGTTTGCATGGCCTTGGAGCTGCAAGTTGAGGCAATTCAAGTGACCAGTATAGTGCACCAAAAAAGCTATCTGTGTCATAGAGGGGACATCATTCATAAATTCGAAAAACTCTCACATCTTGTTGGTCTTGTGGTTATTTCTTTTTGAAGCGCACAAAACCTCTCTAACACACGCTTCCTACTTAACCAGCGAACGTCATTGTGCAGCAACAGGTCACTGTATTCAGCTGAAACGTCTTGTAAAAGACTTTTAAAAAAGACGATGTTGCAAGCTAGAAGTTAAACATATGTAGTTCACTAATCTCATCACAATACCCATTGTTGTTTTTTTTCCAAGTTCCCAGACAACTTACCGCGCAGGACAGTCTGGTGAATGATTCAGTGAATTGTTTTTAATGAAGGGTGTATCGCTGCCAAATGTGAAGCAAATCCCTCCTCTTTCCCTGTCATAGAAGGACCTCCATCTGTAACAAGCAGGTTTACTTTCTGCAGATTTAAACCATTTTTTTCAAAAAAGCCTTTTACCTTTTCAAAAATGATAGTGCCTGTGGTTTGATTTCTAATGGTACTAAGCACAAAAATTCTTCCTTGAAAATTTCACCATCATAAAATCTAACAAACAGCAATATCTGGGCCATGTCACTTAAATCGCTTGCAAGAGGCATGTATTTGGTGTTTTTTAAATCAGAAAGCAGTGATGATAAACAATTCTTGTAAATTACCTCCAATATTCACACTGCTATGGAATCAAACACGGGAGCTTGCTTCACACAGTTCACAATGTCATCTTTGTTTTTATCTCTGGCAAAAAGCTCCTCCAGCATTTCCAACGTGCACTCCTTCACAAGCTCGGCAGCCAGGAAAGGCTTTTTCTTTTTAGCTAGTACCAACATTATCTGAAGAGAAGCAGCTGTTGCTTTTTTCCTGTACTGTAACTGATGTGAAAATGACATTTGAAGTGTGATACAAAGACTTCAGATTTTCAATTTTGTCATGTCTTGCAACACTGCCAGGAAAATAGGACGTGTTAAAATTACTGTGCTTTGATTCAAAGTGGCACCTCACGTTGGTGACTTTACAGATGGATACAGTGGTTTGGCATATTAAACACCAAAGGTTTTTGCATTTAAATGAGGTGGGATAATAAAAAGAAAATCCGCTGTCCAGTTTGGGTTAAAAGTTTGGTTTTCACTGTCAACCTTGCAACATTTACTCCCACTCTCACTCATTTTTTACTCTATTTCCATCAATAATGAAAAAATGGATGGCATCCTAGCTCAATCATAGCCGATGCTATCGCAAGAACTTAAGATCCAGTAAGCAGTGCTTAATTTTTGCTGGGGTAAGTAAGTTACTTACTAAAGAAGTCGTAGGCAAATGATAGACAGCACATCTCTGTTTGTGAATTTAATGATAAACATTTTTTAAAGGTGAGCTGATGGGCCACGCAGGAAGCGTTGGCAGGCAACATTTGGCCCACGGGCTGCCTATTGAGTATCACTGTTGCAGAGGATTGATGCGGAGAAGCACATGGTGGGGTGGAGACATCCCTTAGGGATGAGTTTGTGAAAGGGGGAACTCTATCTCCTAGGATCTCATAAAACTGGGTCACTGGGCAATAAAATGGCAGATGAAATTAAATGTTGGAAAGTGCAAAGTAACGAACATTTAAAAAAATAATCCCAACTATACATACACAGTGGTCTAAATTAGCTGTTACTGCCTAAGAAAGAGAGTCATTGTGGATAGTTCTCTGAAAACTTCTGCTCAATGCACAGCAGCGGACAAAAAGGCTAACAATATGTTAGGAACTGTTAGGAAAGGGATGGAAAATCAGATGAAAAAATATCATAATGAGCCTATGTAAATCCATGCTATGCCCACACCTTGAATACTGTGTCCAGTTCTGATCATCCCATTTCAAAAAAGGATATTGTGCAACTGGAAAAAGTTCAGAGAAAGACAACAAAGGTAATCAAGGTTATGAAACAGTTTCCATATGAGGAGAGACTAAAAAGACGACAAAGTGAGGATATGATAGAGGTCTATAAAATCATGAATGATGTGGAAAAAGTGAATAGACAAATGTTATTTATCCCTTCACCCAGTGCAACAACCAGGGGTCACCTTATGAAATTAATAGGCAACAGGTTTAATAGAAACAAAAAGTAGTACTCTTTCATACAACACACAACTAACCTGTGGAACTCATTGCATAGGATGTTGTGATGGCCAGCAGTATAACTGGGTTAAAGCAAGAATAAGTTAAGTTTATAGAGGATTGGTCCATCAATGGCTATTAGCCAAGATGGTCAGGGATGCAACCCTAAACCTCTGACTACCAGAATCACTCCATAATTGCCCTGTTCTGTGTGCTCTCCTTGAAGCTCTGGTTCGGGCCACTGTTGGAGACAGGGTTCTGAGCAAGATAGACCATGGTCTGACCCAGAATGGCAACTCTTCTGTTCTTATGGGGTTTTTTTGGTTTTGTTGGAGGTGGTTCAAAGTGAAGCATTTTAATTTTGCAAGATGTTTAAACTTTACAGATGAGCATTGGACAGTTTCTGCTTGGTTATTTCACTATTTCGGAGTTATTGAGCATTGTTTTCCTCACATTTAGAGAGGTGAGGCAGCGTAGTCATTCAAAGAAGGTTTTGATTGCCAGATCATCTACATTGTAGTCCCTAGTTCGTCTTCCCTTTGAAGCTTCTCTTTAGCCTCACTGCAGTTTAATCATATGGCCTGTTTTCACTCCTCTGGTAAAGGGCAAACTCTTCAGAATGGCACTAGAAGCTCAATATCTCCTATCTTAGGCCCCAGTTCACAAGTAGTCCCACTGAACTAAAATGGGACTTTAAACACATGCTTAAAGATAAGCTTGTGCTTAAATGTTCTGCTGACTTGGGGGCTTTAACCAGGAAGGTGTGTTCGCTGTCTTTTCATAACAGCAGGTCTGACTCTGACTTGAGTAGGCTAAACTAAAGCACGTCAGGAGGTATCCTGGGCAGAAGATGTAATGTCCATCTGTGCTGATTATAACCATAGAGAAAGGGTGGTCCATTGGCTGCCTGGGCATTATGGTACTATTTTGAGGATCTGGTCCATGGGCTTTACTCCAGCAATATGGATCAGTCTGTTCAGCCAATGCCACTCTTCCATTTCCAACTTGCATTATTTTATAACCAGTAAAACATCTGAAAAATAGATAATTGCAGAGAATTATAATGAATAAATTCCCTTGCAAACATTAAATTGTCATTCATTTAACAAGTGATTTCAAAGCTTTAGTTAGATACCTTTGGATCACAATTTAAATTATTTTAGAGTTTCTGTGCATACTTACTGAACTGTTGTTGAAATACCACTACAACTTCTTTGGTTCTGGCTCTTCGCTCTCATCCTTTTGTGTGTGCATTGTGTGTATCATTGACATTAGCTTCTATTAATTCTAGTACAGACCCTGTATTTGTTTGCTGCACTACTAATAGAAGTATGAGCTAGTTTTCAAACAGATTTGTTACTGTTTAAATTAATAGTGCATGTAATGATTTTTTATTTCAGACTTTTAAAATAAACTCTTTCCTATGTGGATGAAATTTAGCACAGAACTGCTACTGATTTTGGTAGTACAGAATTTATGAAGTGTTCCTTTTTCTTTTAGACACTCTTTCACCAGCATCAAGTCCTTCATCCATTAATTTTGCCACAATTCCAGGTAGCATAGATGAATCACCCAGTGGAGCATTAAACATTGAATGTAGAATTTGTGGGGACAAAGCTTCTGGCTTCCATTATGGAGTACATGCTTGTGAAGGTTGTAAGGTACAGTTGATTTTTTTTTAATAGCCTAAACCATATTGCTTTATTTACAGGGTTATATGAAGAAAAAACATAGTTGCTTTGTAAATGGCTAATTAAAATCAGTCTAGCTGTAAAAAGAAAACATAATTTAAATAATAGTCACTTGTGATCTTCTCAAGAAGTATTTTTGTCTGGTACCGTAATTTGACACTATAACTTCTTCAAGAAAGGCAGTTGATTATAAGTAGTGCTTTTGTGAAAAGAACTAGTTATCATTAGAGATTAAAATAATTTAAAAGGAATAAAAAAATGTTCCATTAGTGTTTTATTTGTGTTGAGAATATGCTATGGGAACCATGTGAATTTGATACATTTCCATTATCTTTCCAATGAACAAATCCTGAATGCCTTATCACCACCATCTCCTACCTGAATCGCTTTTAGTACAGTGTTTTACTTATTATAAATTTGGAGCCAGTACATGGTCATGAAGCCAAACATGCTTGCCATCAATCTTTGAAGTATAGGATAGATGACCAAAAACATATAAAGGTTTTATGTTTTGATTATTTTCTAATGTATGTCTAGTTTTATTTTATTTTTTTTCTGCATCACGTAACAGGACTTGAGAAAGTGAAGTAATTTGTAAAATTTTTTGAATGTTTTAAATCACTCAACGCTAACTCTAGGGTCAGGATAATAAGGTTCAAATGTAGAGTTTTGTGGATTAATGTCCTGGAATTGGTGGAATAATTCTAAGGTCAAATCTGAAGATTTGTACTCATTCTTCTAGAGTTAGAGAACTAGGTCATGATCAAATGTGGCACTTCATGACATGCTGGCAACATCTTGCCTCACACATCACAATGTCTTATCATGACACAGCGCTGTGTAGCAATGTTTGTAGAGACTAGTATTTCATTGCAGTGTCACTCAGAACATCATGGTAAGATCATTTATAGGCAGGGGCAGCCCTAGATTAGCTGCCAGCAACTGGCGCCCTAGGCAAACCATGCAGTCGGTGCCCCAAACCCCAAGGGCAGATCTAGGCTGAGGTTTTTGGTAAACGTAGAAAAATTTTGGCCCTTTTTTCCTTTTAATTTTTTTTTTTTTTTTTTTTTAAACAGAGGCTTAATTATTCAGTTTGTCTGTCTGTCCAACCAATGTTTCTGAGATCAGATAAAATAGACACACAAAATTTTCAGAATAGATTTGTACCTGGCAGCTAGATGATATTTCAGTCCAATTTAAAAAAAAAATGCATTAAAAATGTTAATTATAATTTTTATTATTACAAATACAAAATCATCCATTACGCTATCCTGCTTTAACTGCCATTACCACCACATCCAACATAGAAAGAAATAAAAAAACTCTTCAATGAACTTTAACCTGTAGTTACAAAACACTCCGAATAAAAAACATGCTGTGCTCTTAAAACATGACTTTTCTTGCTTTAAGTTTTGAAAATTCAGTTACTAGTTCTTTTAGGTCCAGTTTTCCAGCTATTTCATGCTTTATTGACATTGTGGCAAGTCCAACTAATCTCTCTTGCACCATTGTTGAATGCAGATGTGTTTTTATCAATTTTAACTTTGAGAAGCTACATTCCCCACTAGCTACGGAAACTGGCAAAGTTAAAAGAATGTGTAGAGCTATAAAAATGTTTGAAAAACTATCTGAGTTTATTTTCAGAAACAAACTTCAGTACTTCTTCAGGAGTGGAATGTTTCTTAAGTCATCTTGAAAAAACCTGAAGCTCACTACACAAATCTGTAGCATCAATGTCTTTTGAATTTTCATGAGTCAATGCCGACTCCAGTTTTATACGAAATTCTCTTATCTGTTTTGCTGTTTTCTTTTGCAAGCTGTGGATATCATATAGAAAGCCAAATGCCGACTCTAGCTGCTGCATCTGTTGAAATCTTTCGTCAACCGAGTGAATAGCAGTATCAAGGCCTGCAAAGTAGAAATTCACTTTGAACCTTTGTTTTGGGTTCTGAATGGGTGTGTCTTGTCCTTCATACAAAAACTTCTGTTTATTTTGCCAAATGCGAACTGGCTCTGGTTCAAATTCTCTTGGAAAGTCTGTTCCTTCAGCAAGCTTGAGAGAATCTACCAGTGTTCTTTCGAATCCTTCATCACTTCTGAATTCCTCCAGAATATTTTTAGTTTGCTTCAGTTTTTGAATAGCAGAATGTATGTTTATGTTCTTTTCCTGAAGCTGCTTATTAGTGAGGTTAAGCTCGAAGAGGATATTATACCACAAAATGAGTGAAGTCACAAATTTGAACTTGGAAAGGCCATTTGCAAGAGCTTCTGCATCTGAACATGCCGTATTGCTAGATGATCCAGTAAAGGTAGTATCAGAAATTTCAATTAGGGCATCATAAATGTTTCCAGGTTCATAGCGAAGAGGCTTCAAAGCATCAATGCGACTCTCCCATCTTGTCTGACAAAGTGGTTTCACAGTTAGAGAATTCACATGGTGAGTCAGAATCTCCCAATGGCATGTTGAACTTGAGAAAAACACATAAACATGTTGCACCAGGTCAAAGAAACTGCTTGCCTCCAAACAGCATCTAGCAGCATCATTGACAACCAAATTCAGAGAATGCGTACTGCAAGGAATGAAAAAGGCCCTAGGATTGATTTCCATCATTCTCCTAGGCACACCATTGTCTTTACCCTTCATATTACTCCCATTATCATAGCCTTGGCCACGTAAGTTTTCAACAGATAATGACATTGTTTCAAGCACTTGTAGAATAGTTTCAGACATAAATGCTGCAGTGGTCTCTTTCAGTGATATGAAATGCAAAAAATGTTCCTTTATGAGCACTTCATTATCTTCCTCTGCAGACTTTTCCATATCCACAAAACGAATGATCATTGTCATTTGTTCAACATGATTCACATCTGGTATACAGTCCAGTATTATTGAAAAATATTTTGCAGAATGGGCAGCTTCTACAATTTTCTTTTTAATGGCATTTGCTAGGATTTGAATAATTTCATTCTGCATATTTAAGTAATGAACCTGTGTTTCATGATCAGTTATTTTGCATAGATGCTCCTTCATGACTGGATCAAACAAAGGTACGTATTCAACACATTTTAAAAAGTTTCCATTACCTGGAGTGTAAAATTTTTCATTTCTACCATGGCTGCGGAATGCTAAATTTTGCCCACTGAGAACTCTCACTAAAGCAATCAGATGCTCTAATATTTGTTGCCAATATTCTTCTTCCTTGATCACACATAAATTTTCTTCATCGATAGTTTTTCCTTTTTTCAATCATAATTCAAGTTCTTTCCAATTTTGAAAACATTCCAAATACTTCTTTCATGTGAAGAGAGAATTGAAGATATGTTTTTCCAGGCCTTCGAACCATTTTCAGTAAGTGATGTACCAATTGCTTGATTTCTAAACAACTTGCAGCAAAAGCAAAACACAAAGTTCTTCGACTCTGAATATTGTAACCAGTTTCGATGAATTTCTTCCCCATTAAAGAGTTTCCTCTTGTAATGCTGAGCAGAGAATTTTCTTTTATTTCCCTCCTTAGGGAAGGGAAATTCATGAACTTGTTCAGATCCATGTTCCACGAATATTTGCCACACACTGTCATCACATCTGGGCCATGAAGCTGGGTCCCCATACTGTAACTTGTTTGTGACTTCCTCATCCTTTCTTCCTTCTACTTCATTTACTTCAATTTCTGCATGTGTCTCTGAAGGTGAATAAATTTTCTCAACTTCCATATCAGTCTGACGCTGTGAGCTGCCTTCATCTAGAAGTAAGTTTCCATTATCTTGAGTTTCCAAACTCCTTTTTTGTGGATGTGAGCTACTCTCATCTTGAAGTAATATACCTTCATCTTGATGTTCCAAACTGCTTCCATGCAGATGTGAGCTAACTTCCTCTCCAAGTAAAATTCCTTCATCTGGATGCTATGAACTGCTTCCATCTTTATTTGGATTAAAGAGAAGATATTTCAGGAAGGATCCCTGCTGTTTTGCTTGGTCCTTTTCCTTCTCAGCCTTTCGTTTACAATACTCGGTTCCTGAGGGTTTTCTTTTTCCTCTTTCTGCCATGGGGTATTTGAATATTGTGTACTGTGCTCCCAACTGCAAGTATTATAGCATTAAGGATGGCTGATGCACCACATGGTTGGTGATTTAAACCACATTGCAGCCATCGCAACACGTCTTTTCACTGCTTAAAGGTTCAATGATTAGTAACATACACTCACTTACCTATTAAAACAGTTAGTTACAGCGTTTACACAGAAACAAAATGACCTTTTTTGACTTTATAACCCGACACTGGTTGTTTGGAAAGTAATCCTCTTCCTCAGGTTACCTGCTTGGAGTGTGATGTCATCACTTTCTTAGTCTATTAAGCATTAACGCCAGTGATGGGCTGCCAAAATCTTAAGAACTGGTTCCCTACCGGTTCTTTGGCGGCACTTCAGCGGCTGGTCCTTCACTCGCTCCGGGTCTTCGAAGACCCAGAGCGAGTGAAGGATGTGCCGCTGAAGACCCGGTAGGGAATCGCCTGGTGAGTACAAGTCCCACGTGTCTCCCAAAACAGCCTGCCTTCCCCCTCCCCCGCATCTGACCCCCACCCAGGTCCTGCCCCCGACTGCCCCCCTCAGAACCCGCAACCCATCAACTCCCCCCGCTCCTTGTCCCCTGACCACCCCCTCCTGAGACCCCCCCAGAACCCCACCCCTTACCCAACTCGCCCCGCTCCCTGTCCCCTGACAGCCCCGACCCCATCCACCACCACCCCCAACAGACCCCTCCAGAACTCCCACGCCTACCCAACCCCCCCTGACTGCCCCCCCCAGAACCTCCGCCCCCTCCAACCCAACCTCCTAGCCCTGGCCCAGCTCCCTTACCATGCTGCTCAGGGCAGCATGTATGGATGCTGTGAGGCCCACTGGAGCTCGCAGCCCCACCCCCTTACCATGCAGCTCAAAGCAGCAGGAGCTGCAGAGCTGCCCAGGAGCGGTCCAGAGCACTGGCACGCTGAGGCTCTGCGAGGGGGGGGGGGAGGGGCCGGGGTAGCCTCCCCAGCCGGGAGCTCAGGCGGGCCGGACAGGACGGTCCCGTGGGCCAGACGTGGCCCGTGGGCCGGAGTTTGCCCACCCCTTTAACAACCGGTTCTAAACCGGCTTCTAAATTTAACAACCGGTTGGTGCGAAATGGTGCGAACTGGCTCCAGCTCACCACTGGTTAACACTGTTACTTTTCTTTTATGGACCTTATTTATTACATGTGAACCAGTTATAACAAAGAAAAGTTTATAATTCTACAGCCCGATAATAATGCTAAGGTTTAAAAACGCTTAAAGATACTCACATTTTGGCTTTATAATGCTGAAAGACCTTATCCTTTATTCTTTGGCACCAAGAAACACAATTTTCCACAGTATTCGCTCGATTCTTAACCATCTACCTGTGACGTATGTTAAAATGACCGTTTGACATGTATCATCTTGCAATATCTCTTCTCTACATGAATTTCTGGCTATGCGACCTTGATGTATATTCAAGTTAGGGGTCACTAGCATTGCAGCTCTTGCCGCTGTCGGATGTGTTTCACGGTGGCTAAGTTATTGCTTATCAAAATTGCGGAGTGGATCCTCTTGACCCTATGTCGCAAATTGAAAAAAAAATCGCTAAAATATTATTTATTTTTGCAGTAAAAAGATTTGACCTATTAATAAATTCTCAGGAATATAGAAAAATGAATTATAATTCATATTCTCTCCGTACATGCACGGGAATTAAAATGACATCTTCGTTATTTTATTTGTATTTTTTCCATATTTTTCAATTTTTTTCATTTTTTTTAATTTGATTTTTTTCCTCGAATTTGGCGCCTCATTTAACTTGGCACCCTAGGCGACTGCCTAGTTCGCCTATATGGATGGGCCGCCCCTGTTTATAGGCTTTTCTCTGGTGCCCATGTGTCTGTCCTTAGTTCTTCCTCTGCACCCTTGCACTTTTCTGTGAATCCCCAACTCTTTGTGCTGTTAACATGTGCTCTTCCTGCACATAACCATCTATTGCGGGTGTGTGCACACATGTATGGCAGATGAGGATTCTTTCTGACAGGGAGAGGGGGCTGGCAAAGGGTATGCTAGGGCAAAAGGTGCAGGGCAAAGTGCATGGTGGTTCTGCTTGATCCTTAAAGGCTGCGGTGATAGTACATTAAGAGTCATCTTGGCCCCCCCCAGCCTGCAAAGGATCAGGAGTGCAGAAAGGAGGCTTAACGCTACCTTCCCCACCCCCCACATTCTATCTGGACCAAGTATAAACTCAGTGCAGGTGAGAATCTGGCCTCCATGTAATGCTGTATTCAGTGAAGTAGGAAGCTATTCCCTTTTGACACATCGTACTTACTTTAATTATTTTTATCTTATTATAAAAACATATTTATATTATCTTAAAATTAATAAGATTATTTTATCTTAAATAATTTCTTTAATTATTTTTATCTTTATAACTCAGATTATTTTTATCTTGTATTATATTTATAATACTAAATAGATTAATAAATTAATATTAATTAATACTACATATTATGTATTTTATTAAGTTACTCTTCTTCTTCGAGTGCTTGCTCATATCGATTCCAATTAGGTTTCTGTAAGTGTCAACTGTAGAAAAATAAGACAGAAAGAAAAGAGAAAATGTAGCAGTATGATTAAGATTTATTGGAAGACTATTAGCTCACATTTTTGACAGTATATAATGTTCTCTTAAACTTTTTACAGGGATTTTTTAGGAGAACAATTCGACTTAAACTCATCTATGATAAATGTGATCGTACCTGCAAAATTCAGAAAAAAAATCGTAATAAGTGCCAATACTGTCGCTTTCAAAAGTGCCTTTCAGTTGGAATGTCACATAATGGTAGGTAAGAGTGCCCTTAATAATTTGTTCCCAATTCCGCAAGCAGGCATGTGAATAACTTTACTCACATGAGTGGTTCCACACAGTTACTTGTGTGAGCAAGGGTTACAGGATTAAGGCTATGGCTACACTGGCGCTTTACAGCGCTGCAACTTTCTTGCTCAGGGGTGTGAAAAAACACCCCCCTGAGCGCAGCAAGTTACAGCACTGTAAAGCGCCAGTGTAAACAGTGCCCCAGCGCTGGGAGCGCGGCTAATCCCCTTGGGGAGGTGGAGTACCTGCAGTGCTGGGAGAGCTCTCTCCCAGCGCTGGCGCGCGACCACACTTGCACTTCAAAGCGCTGCCACGGGAGTGCTCCCGCGGCAGCGCTTTGGAGTTTCGAATGTAGCCATGCCCTCAGTCTCAGGTATTTACAGTGTATTAAAATGAGGCCCTGATCCTGCACTGAGAACGCTTGTGTGCAGGATTTTGTTCAGTACAGGATCAAGGCCTAATTAGTGGGGTTCGTTTGTTTTGTGTTTTGCTTTCCTCCTTTTCCTCTGTTCTGCAGTAAGCATGTTTTAGGTGCACGGTGTATGGACAAGTTTAAAGGTCATTCCCCCCCCCCCCCCCAAAACCAAAAGACTCGCTTTCAAAAATTAAGTGCGGAAGAGGCATGTGAGCATGGTTAACTGGGAATGAGGAAAAAAATATTGAAGGCTAGCTTAAGAATGCATGTTTGTGAGATTTCTCCTCTGATGTATAATTCAGTTTGATCAACAAAATGAAAGGTCACTAAAAGTATGTATTAGTTCACTTTTACTATTAGGGTCATCAGAAAATCGCCTTTCATTTCCAGAAAATATATCCTAATTTTATAGTTGCCATTTGTTTGTCTGGTCCTCTAAATATTTTAAAATCATTTCAATTTTGTTAGTCACCAAGTAGAATAAATCTACAGTTAAATACTTAGCGTGTGTCTGAAATGTAGGGATCTTGACTGCAACTGTCATTAATATTATTTTTAAAAACTTTTCTTAACTTTGTATTCTATTATTTCCTTATGTGGAAGACATTGTTTGCATTTTGCAGCTTGTTTTATATGTGGATTAATCTATTTGTATTCAAGCACCCCATATCTTCTGAGGATTTAAAAATATAGTGTATTTCGTAATTTGGGATAGTACTAGATCTGAGTGTTCCAAATTTTATTTATGGGACGTACGTCTACTGGCTGCTTTCCAATCTTTCACAGCAAGTGTATAATCATTAAATAAATATCTAGTCCGGTTTAGTCTCCTGCCAACAGCTATGGCTAGAATAGGATGCTTCAACTGAAGGCAAACAGTTAGTAGTACATTGCCCTTTCCCCTCTGCATACAGCAGAGTGCACTAATTCTGGACCACTGCAGCTATCAGCTTATGCTCTGAAGCATGACATTTGATTATCCTCATTGGAGATTGGTGATTTAATAATTAGGGACTAATTATGTGGGGAAGGGCTGTCTTATTTAATTCATGGCTTTATTAGAGTCAGCATGTCCTACCTCTAGTCATTACTCCTTCTAGATAGAAATTTGACTGCTGTATTCAGGGAGGAAAAAAATAGTATGGACTTATATAGAATTTATGTATTTGTTTCATAATTGTCTTTTTACCAGCAATTCGTTTTGGACGAATGCCAAGGTCTGAGAAGGCAAAGTTGAAAGCAGAAATTCTAACAGGTGAACAAGATGTGGAAGATTCAGAAATGGCAGATCTTAAATCTCTTGCCAAGAGAATCTATGAGGCCTATCTGAAAAACTTCAATATGAACAAGGTCAAAGCTAGAGTCATCCTCGCAGGGAAAACCAATAACAATCCAGTAGGTGTTTTTGTTTTAATTTTATTGTAGAGCTAAAATATATTGATGCTAATGCAATGAACTGTAGAATTCTTAAGCAAATCATTTAGGAATAAGTGGTGTACTACTACGTGATAGACATGAAATACGAAAAAGTAGTACCTGTCGTAAATCTGGTCTTTGATATGCAAGATCAGTGTAATGGGAAGCTTTAGAAAATAAAGTTGTGGTTAACTTGTAAATGAAAGGTCACAGTAAACTACTAGATGATGTAGAGCAGCATAATAGGGTTGGCCACCTCCTGAGCACTCCCTCGTGGCTGTGGCACCCTGCTTCATATAACCCAGGTTTCCCCCTCTCATAACCTACTACCTCCATGGACACTCTGCTCTCACAATAATACCCCTCCGTTGGACTGGTTTATTATTAAAAATTTATGCAAAATAGTCCATAACAATAGTCCCAACATAAAATTCATTTATCACACTCAGTTTAAATAGTGATTAAGATCCCCAACATCTAGTCCCTCAGTATGCCCTATACAACACACCAGCCACTTTGACCACACTCAGACCCTGTCAATCTTCTGCTCTTCCTCTGGCCCTGGACAGCAACCCCAGCCCTTTCAGCTAGTGTGCAACCCCACTCTTCCCTGCAGAAACAGCCACAGCCTCTCTTGCCAGGGGAGCATCCCTCACTCCCCTTGGCCCTCTCTCTGTTCCTCTGGGTTCAGCTCTCCGGCCCTGGAGATGTTAGCAGGTAAGCTCCTCCTCTGCTTTTGGCCTTTAGCTGTGACTCTTCAGCTTAGGGCCAGCAGGCAACTCCCTCTGCTGCTCCCTGGCCTTCAGCCCTACTGCCCTGGCTCTCTGGCTTGGGGATGCCAGCCAGCAAACCCCTCCTGCTGCTCTCCTGCCTTCTCCCAGGGATCACATATAGTCTGTGTCAGCTTTTATCTCATACTCAAGCTTCTCCTCTCAGGCAGCCCTGACTCACCAGATCTCTGTTTCCCTAGGGCCCAAGTGCCCTCTTTTAAATCCAATTAATCGGCCAAATTGGAGTGTGCTGCTCCCTCTTAAAGGGTCAGTGTCACTGTGTTACAAGGGGCTAAATGGTGGGGGAAGTAAATTAGTTATCAGAAAATGAAATGTGATATCTGGCTTCTGACCTGGTTTAGTATTGGGGGGGAAATGTACTTATTTCCTATTAAGACTATAATAATGGTAATAAAATTTAGAATTTCTATAACACTTTTCATCCACAGATATCAAAGTTCTTTTCAGAGGTAAGTATTGTTATCAGCATTTATACAAATGGGGAAACCATAGCATAGATTGTGCCTTGATCCAGGGTCACAAAGAGTGACTTAGTGACAGAGTTGGCAACAGAATGCAGGTCTCCAGAGTCTTATTTTCCAGCTCTAGCCACTGGTACACACATCTTCCCTACTCTAATTGTATGGTTTCCTTTGAAGGGGGAAGTGAACAAGGTTGAAAAGGAATTTGATTTTTATTATGGAGTTTATTTTTCTTAAAATATAACCTAGCCAGTCTCTTATATTAAGTGGTGAACACTGTCTGATTCTTACTCAGGAATACCAAAATTATTACTTTTTTTTGTAGGAAATTGTGTAATATTTGTTTCTCTTATGAGTTGATCAGTGGTTCTCTTGTGGGATCCTTGATACATTAGCTCTCTGCCATCCCATTGTGTGTACCCAGTCAGTAAAGCACTTAAGCACATAAATTGTCCCATTGACTTCCATGGAACTATTCACATGCCTTAAATTAAGCATGTGCTTAATTTCATTGCAGGTTAGGGGCCTACATAAATCTAAAACACATAGTATGGACCTCCACACAGTACTTCATAAACTTTTCATAAGTTATAATCAAGACATCTGGTTACATATCTACTGTAGGTGCAGTGGACCTGAATTTCTAGACCTTGCATTTTGTGCATTCATTTATATCTGTGCAAAATAGATGTACAAATTGCCAAATCAGAAATTTCTGTTCATACCAATGATAGCATTTTGCACTTACTTGGGGTAGATGTACATGAACAAGACAGTGGAGAATCAGAGCTTGTATATTCATAAATAAAATATATTTCCCCCAGTACATGGGAAAGAGGAGGATTTAAATTATTTAACAAAGTCTTTCTTTGTGTAACCCTTCTGTAAAGTGGAGTCAGCAGCAACAAGAGCCAGCTTCAGTATTGAGGGGTTCTTCTTAACCATTCAAAACAGAACCAGCTCAAGCTTCCACCCAATAATCTGGGAAATTTTAATAACCACCCGTGGGCGCCTCTGAGAGGCAATACTTCCCCATTTGGAAGCACTAAGTCTGTGTATAACAAAAGAGAACTTTTAATAAAAGGGAAACGGAACCAAGCATAAGTTTGGGAATACACCACAACTGCATTCAAAAGCATGCAACCATAAGCAAAACCTGACTCCACAATGTGTTGAGCAGTTTCCTTTGCCTAAGTTTTCCACCTTGTGGTGGAAAAGTCCAACAAACAAATGTCTGTTTAACGAATCTCTCACACCCTTCCACTGCACCCTGCTCACAGTTGGCTGTCCTTGGTTAGCAAAGACTCAGAGTTAAGAGGTATGTTGGGGTGGGAGGTGAACCCCTGTGAACAAAGGGGGAGGAGTAATCAAGCAATGTCTCTGTGGTTGCTGTCTGCCTCTGCAACTGGCTGTTTGCTGCTGCTGCTGCTGATCACAGGCTGTTACTTCTGCAGTGCTCTGTTCTAGGTTCCACCCAGGTCTTCAGTAATTTCAATGGGTAGCAGGGAACCTCACTGTCAGTACAGCCTCTGCATTTTCTTTCCTTTCACCACTGTGCCTACACCAGGTCTAAGGCATAGCTTCTAGACCTGGTTATCAATGATTCAGCTCTGGTAATCACTGATAACCAGAGTCTAATTAGCTCTGTCTTTAAACACTGGAGAGTGGAAGGTCAAATGGTGTGTAGGACTTTTTGGGTAGAGTCCACACCACCATGTAGGAACATCTGACCCCACCTGTCTCTCCTTTACTGGTATTTGGCATCCCTTCCACCGGCTTAGCAAGTGAAGTTCCATTTCGGGTGACCCCCTCAATCAGGGCATGCTAAGTACAGTTCTGCTGCCCAGCATCAGCCAAAAGCGATCATTTTGGCAAAGCAGCTTCATCATGCTACGCACCTAGGCGAGTAGGCATGTCTATGCAAACACACTCTGTTCCTGAAGTCTCTTCCCCTAGCTCATTGCTAGACGTCAGAGGAGAGTTCGTTCAGACCCTGCTAACACTTGGGGAATATGCCTTTTTAATATATTTTTTTTATTTGACAGGGTTTGGGTTTTTTTTAAACATGGGCCCTTCAGATTCAGTTGGTGGTGATGGGAATCCAGCTTACTTGTTGCTGAACAGTACTTTAGCAGTTAATTTCAATAAATTCTGATTCTTCTTCAAGTAATATTCCTACAGGTACTCCACTCTAGGTCCCCTGCGCCTTTGACCCATGATTTCTCATAGCAGAGTCTCTTCGGCTTGCACATGCATTTGTCAGTCTCATGCCTCCTCCTGTTATATAGCACTGAGTGGGCAAGCCACCCTCAACCACCTTGGGCTGAGATGGAGCTCTAGCAGTTGTCGTATATAGACTTCCTCAACTCTCTTTTTTTTTTCTCTTGCTGATTGTAGTAGTGTTAGTTTTTCCATAGTTAGTATATACTCCTATTATAGCTTCTTTTTCTTTAAATATTTTTCTACATACTATTTAAATAGATTTTAGATCTGACATTTTTTCTGACTGGGAGGTGATGCCCAGTTCTCCTTGCTTCAAGTGCTGTTTGTCGTGCCAGGAGGCAATCCCGGTCAGCGTCAGACATTCCCGCTGTATCTATTGTTCAAAAGTGCAATTTTCATCTGGCCTTTAAATCAAGAGCCAGAAAAAAATAGAGAACTAAAGCTTTGCCTCCTTGTGATGGAGAGCTCTCTATGTCCAACCTCCGACCCAGGCCAAGGGACCCCCCAGATGTCAGTCCCCAAGCAAGTCTGCTGCCTTGGAGTCCCACAGTTCCAGGGCACCCAAGAGGAAGATACAGGACTCCTCTCTCAAGTTCTCAAAAGAAAAAGGGTTCTCCGCATAGATATTTTATCTCTAAAAAGCCAAGGTTATTGGTTCACTCGGCTATTCCAGCACCCCATTCAGGTACCAGGCTCTCAGTTCCTCAGGTCCCCAGGGTACAGCTAGATCACAAGGCGGCAAGGCCACGGGCCCAGAGAGACCCTTGGTACCATTATCAGATTGAGACAGCAAGAAGAGTTCTTCCTCTGCTTCCTCAGTATTGAAGAAGTCCACTGAGGTTCCGACCACGCCTCCCTTGGGGCACATGAGATCTTCGGCTTTGTCAATAACTGTGCTTCCCTCTGAGCACCTGACGACTGTGGTATCATCAGGGTCCTCGGCCATGTCGTGGTATCATCAGGGTCCTCGGCCATGTCTGATATCATGAGCCTTGGTATTGATGTGCCTCATAGTGCTGCAAGAGTTCTGTTTTCCCCAGGACCTGGCTGTAACTGAGACTCCTGACTTGGCTCCTCAGCTCTGATTTGCTGTCAGTACTAAGAACATCAGGATCACCTGAAATGATTTCACCTCAGATCTCTCCAGGAGCTCCACCATTCCGAGTGAACCTGAGGAAGAGGATTCTGAGGTGGATCTTGCCTTGGTCTCAAGCGTCAGTCTAGAGTTGGTCTCCTCAGTCCTTCAGAGGGCCCTTCCCAGAGGCTTCTGCTGAAGCTGCAGCTACTTGCAACCCATGATTACCACCAACACCTCACTGGTATGAGCATCCTTGGGTGCCTCCTGGTTTGCCTTATGCACCTCCTCCTTTGCCATATTTGGGACCCTGGGGTGGCTTATTGCCAAGTATTTTCCAGATCATCCAGTACCACCCACCATAGAGAGAGAGGCAGCCTTCAAGACCTGCTCCCTCCAGGAGACCTGACCCTCAAGAGGATTCTTTTG